TTGACAAAATCTTATAGTTTCTTATCAGCCTTCCTTGTCCAAATGCCTATTACAGAAAAAGTTTATTGTTTCTAAACTGAAGAACATTTATCTTTACAGTATCATCTACAGAAATTAGCTTCACAGATATGTCAGGATTTTAGAAATTCCTTCAGTATGAAAATAAATTGCAGCTGGGTCTGATCTTTCTCCTCATTTCAGTTGCCCCATAAATTTTTATCTTGAATTATGAAATGTACAGTAAAACATCTCTTCCTCATCTACTATCGACAGCCATCTGGCACATTCTTATGACGAAAATTTAACACAGAACTTTTCATATATAACATGTGTTTCTTGTTCTGTGGATGCCACAATATGTAAGTTGCTCAGAATAAACTCCTGAAGAAACAACATAAAACTGACCATGTGAAAAAATTGCCTCTGTTACTTCTTTTTAAGAGAGTCCTAGAGCTTTACTCATTATCATGGCAAAGCATAGTTTAATATGAAAAGAGATGTTCTTCCTTTTGAACATCCTGTTGAAGCTGCAGGTTCTACTGCCTTTTCCTTAAATGTTTAGCCTCTAATCTTGTCACATTACATAATCCTGAAAACAATCTCATCACTCAAAAAACAATTTTGGTACCATATGTTGTTTTATCATCATAAGTTAATTTTTCTTCAAACAATTAACCACTGCTATTACATTTAAACACAGAGACAATCTTTACCACAACTCAAGCTCATGACATTGTTTTTGGGACAGCAGGGTTTGTTCCTGCAGTCTCCTCACCAAACAAATAATTGTCTACTTCCACTGTTATTATTTTTCAAAGCAAAGAAAAATCTTCACTCAGAATAGAACCCAGGGCATTTTTCAGGGTTGCAGCCTTTGTTCCCATCATTGAAACAAACAGTTTTGTTCTTGAAGCCATTCTTTTGTTGTGCTTATCTTATGAAACTTTCTGGAGTTTTAACCTTTCTAAAATCTTTCCCTGGTGGGGACAGAAAAAAACTGCAATTTGTGTGTAATCCAATCCTGTTTTTGGTAGGGAAGGGATATCAAAAGGGGAATATATGAATCACAATTATTAATAAAAAAATTCCCAGCTTTGTTAATTCTACTTGAAATTAAATTCCAAAGTGCATTCATATCAACAAACAAATTATATATATATACATATATAATCAAGGATAACACTGAAATGGTACCACTAGAAATATTTGTCCTTCTATTAGTTTCCCTTCTTTGTCTTCTAGTCGACCTCTGGGTCACACCACTGCTTCATGGGCATTGAACACAGCACTGTGTAGGATTTGAGGTTTACACGATGGTGAGTCTGAATATGGCTGTCTTCTGGGTTGTTGCGGCATGTAGTCTGGTAGAAGTTTACTGACATTTCAGAGGTCCTTGCTGCCTCCATCATCAGAGTGATAATGACGGTGGTAGTAACAACCTCTGTCCCGCGCCATAGCCGCGTGGTCTGAGGCATCATGCTTCGGACCGGCGATACGGAATGCGCGCTGGTTCGAGTCTCAGGGGATAAGAAATTTTCTCATGAGCTTTCGACGAGTGTATGGGACCGGTGCCAACCCAGCATCATGAGGAAATTGGGGAGCTACAATGAGTAGCATAATCCATATTTACAATACTGTGTGCCTGCACATATTCAAAGACACAAAATACTACAAATTTATGTAATTACATGGAATTAAAACTAAAAATCTTTTTGCTTGTATAATTTCACCATGCTTTCAGAACACAAATTTCAAATTAAGCACAGGTTTAATGTGATAATTTTGGAATAATGTCCTCAAAAATTTTACCTATATTTCACTTGAAGTTCACTGTGGTAATCATTAATTGCTGTGCTGATATTCATCTGTTAATTTGGAAGAAAACTGGCTTTCATAAAACTAAAACTAAACTGAGAATCTGAGATGCAGCTGGCAGCAGTGGATGCTCAAATGAGAAGCAGAGGAAGTGGAAATGCAGGGATAAGCACAAACAGCAAGAAATCGATAATGTCTGATGGACATCTTGAACATCCTGAACATTATTCCACCATCACTTCAAGGCTGACACCAGACACAATGAGTAGACATCCTGGTAGAAGGCTACACATCTGTTCACCATACTGCAGGGTCAAGCAGCTGATATCCTAAACAGTATCCCACCCAAAGCAACATATCAATACACTGCCATTATGAAGACCACCAGCTGGCAGTAGTCTAGCTTTCTTCATTAAAGTCCAGGACCCAGTTGAGCAATGAGTCACTACAAGAGTCTGCAGCAGTTCGCATACCAAGCCCTTGTTGGACTACCTGTGGAATTCATCAAGAGGGCTGCCCATGCATATGTTGACAGAGTGAGACCAAGAACTGAAGCAGAACCTCCTCATGGGCATTTACAGGTCCCTCAACAAGGATCTCAAGCAGGCCCTAAAGCCAGAGGTAGTGAAGGCAGTCGCCAGACCACCCACAAGCCTACATCGAGAAAAGTGACAAGAGTCCCTAGGGGAATGTTGCCATAAACAGCCTAATGCTACAGATGACGATGGACATGATGGCAGACGAAGGCACCGGCACCATCACTCTCATCCCTTCTGCTTGATGAGAAGCAATAACTAGAGGCTTATCCTGAGAAGGCCCATATAAGTTCACCAGGATCAATGACATGGGCTACCAGATCCAGTGACATAACAGTGAGATGATGATGGCACACCTGGACATACCTGTACCAAGGATAGGTTCTGCTCAGGATAAACAGCCCTCCCACTGGATGAGATGCATACACATGGATGAAAAGTTTGACCAAGGCTGGAGAAACCTCAAGTAAACTGTCATACATACAAGAATATATGGAAATCTGTGGAATATCCCAGCACCTTCTCAGTCTCCACACATAAAAAACAAGATATTTGGGCACAGGCTCAGTTCAAAGCAAATTGTGTGAGGACTGAGCAACTGATTGTGTGACACTGTGGGAGTGTGCTGTGAACTACAATAGTATGGGAAGTAGAAAACAATTATACCTAGTGTGAAGTTTGGGCATCTGCAAGCAAGACTGGTACACTGACAGCAAAAATGAAGTAAATAATATATTGTAATTGTGAACCCACAGCATAATCACTAATAATCCATTATAACAGATTATAACAGCAAATGTAAAAATTCTAACTATTTGTTGAATAAATTAATTTCTTTTCAATGCATTATCCTTTTTAAGTTTCTGGTTTTTGGTGTTTATCAGATTTGATATCACACTGTATTCAGATATGTACAGTATATCCTTGAATTCTAAGACAGCTGAGCATGACTCACTTGACTTGCAGCTGACTGTATTTCTCAAGTCGGGCATGATGGTCATCAACTTCTTGAGCAAGAAGTGAGGCTCTTTCATTGGCATCCTGTATATCAGCTCGAAGCTTGTCACGCTCACCAGTCATGTGCTCCAGGGACAATCTGACGAAAATGCAAGCATACTTTTAATGAAGATACATTAGAAAAACACTGTATCACTTCAGCAAAGTCTTACTATAACAAATGCCATTATAACAAGATTTTCAGTATAATAAACACATAGAAGACTTTCAGTGTAACACAAGAGAATCCCATGTGTGTCAAAAGCACTGTTCAGTTTAATGACATTTTATAAGTTTTATAATGTTTGTGTTAACCCTTCCTGAGTGAACCCTGTACTGGCAAGTTGTGTTGCAGTATTTAAAAATACTGCTGTACAAAGTACTTTAATAAATATGCACTAGATGTCACAAGCATACAAATCTCTACCATGTACTGTAGCCTAAACGTCAGTTTAGTGAAGTATAAGATTAACATATTCTGATGACAATCTGTACTAGGAATAAACTACATCATAAAAACACTTCAACTCCCATAATTCAAACAGTATACAACGTGGTAAATAAATAAAACAACTAATGGTAATGTTATTGTGCCAATTTTGAATTATATGGATAAAAAAATTTCTGAGGTTATAGTGACAGTGAAACTGCTGGCTATCAAAACCCTGACTGCAAAACTGGCACATCAGACAGCAAAGAAAGCGATGGGCACACAACGCGATTTGTCCAGGTGGCATAACATTAAATGGTGAATGAAAATTTGACATCTTAGTGTCTCCCAATGGCAAGACATCCACAATAAATTTCACTGAAATATTTTATGCATGTGCACTTACACAAAGATGTGTAATCCGGCGGATGGCCCGACTTTAAGTCTGCGGTTAAACAGTTTACTAGTATGCTACTGTAGTGCAAGGCCAGCTGCACTGATAAATAGACCTTAATCCATGGTCAATAAATGAAAATTTCTGCAATCACCCAATAATAACAACTTACATAATCATGTTAATGTAAATGGTCAATATATCATTTTAGTTCACATTAAAACAGCAGGATAAATTATTATTTTTAATATATAAAATTTGAGGTTTCACAGCAGTGACGATGATGATGTTATTCTTGGTCCCAGCACCACGTTACTTTTAAGCTTGCTAATACCATTATAAACATGTGATGTGGCACTTAACCAATAAAAATGTACTCTCCTTAAGTTTTATTGCCTTTCACTGTAGCAAAATTTCAATGTTACAAGTATAATTTTTCAGTTTGTTATACTGAGATTTTACTGTATTTCCTAAGCTTCAGTCATCTTTGAAACATTTCTTGCTCCAAAAAACACTGAAAAATTCTGAACATTTAGTAAAACAGCAGATATAGATATGATGTAAGTCTGAGCAGCAGCAGTACAGTACAGAAAAAGGAAGACAAAAGAAATTAAAATTCAGGGCATTTTCTCGAACATATTTGGCATTATTGCAAGAAAGTTCTGCTCCCCTTGATGCAACATCAGTAAATTTTGGAAATAATTCTAAAAAGATGAAGTTGTATGCAGTCAAAACTTTGAACCTTGCATATCTAATATTATATATAATTTCAGAACCATAGTAATGCAAAGTGAGATTAATCATTCTCAATTAACTACATGGCTCACAATTTCATGCTAAATTTTTTAGTGAAAATACAATCGGAGATACAAACTAAAATACAAATTTGGTGAATGTCAGAAATACTATGGCAAGTAGCTTGCATTAAAATACAGGTTCACTGTTCTGCTATTATTATCACTGAGATCCTATTCATGGATATGAAATACACTTCCAAGATGCTTCCACCTCAGAAATGGGTCCTTCACACAATAAATTTACAATGGTCATGAAGCCAGAATGGTCAATAAAATGAGGTCACTGGTTATGTATTTGTAGTTTGTTGAGCAGTGTCAGTAGCTAACAAAATATAACAGAATGATTAAGGAACAATGAAATAAAAGGAATATTGAAGGACACTATCATGGCATGATTTGAAATACTACCCCAGCATTTGCCAGGAGGGTCTGAAGAAATTTTAAAAAAACACACACACAATCATGACAACCTGTCTCTAAGCCAAGATCTGAACCTTGGACCTTCCAAATAAGCAGGAGTACTAATAACTTGGCCATTACAACAGGTTGTTATTGGAAACAATGCCACAATAAAAATAAGTATGCTGACACCTGGGTTTCTATGATTTCACTGATTTTCAAAGAATTGTAACACCAAGGATTGTACCATATTATATGTCATCAAAGCAAGATTAATTACTATAAAATAAATTTTATGGATTTATCCAGCTTTATTTATTCCATACGACAAGTTACACTTTCAGTATTATCACATGTGTCACCATTTGTGTGCCCATCCTTCCTTAATAGCATCTGAAGCAATTAATAGACATTCTTGAAACCTAATTAGAACATCATGACACTATCATGTTGGTGCTAACACCAGTCTGTCAGCAAGATATACTGACTCGCTTGCCCACAATATGTTGCCAACATCGGTAAAAAGAATTGACCAATGCAGCATCTCAATTAACCCATCCATGCTTACATGTCACTGCTGTTACTCAAAATGGAATGACGTAGCTAAGCAGATGAAGCCATGCACTTGCTGTTATATTTACATGTCTATTTCAAGCATTATCTGTGTGCATATAAATAATAATCCTAAATGAAGAAAATTATCAACTTCTACTCTTAAGTGTATTGTTTGTAAACTTTTCATACAGGTAACACATAGTTTCTGGGCTGCCATATGAAGGCTCTCTACAGTGCCACTTTGAGAAACAAGATTTTGCTGCCTTCAGTGTTAGGCTGTAAAAGTCCACATTTGTTTCATTTACAGTAGTTTTAGTAAAATACTGCATTTATGGGGTCCAAGTATTTGAATGTCCCACAACGTGATATAAGATTCACACAGAATGTCAAATGTCACCTCACATTTTTCCTGTTTAATTTTCTACCATCAACAGAATAAGCATCGTGATCATGAAAACTGTGAGGTGTGTGACTACCAGTATTCTGAAATTAAGTCTAGTAATTAAGCTTCAAAACACATCCAATTTATGGGTAAGACTTCAGGTTTTCTTGGCAGATGAAGATGACTGTCTTCTGGTATGATGTAACGCATCACTGTCCTAACAATTGAGGCAGTAAGCACCCTTGAAACATCAGTAAACTTTTACCAGACTACATGCCACAACATCCCAGAAGACAGTCATTTTCACATGCAATTAGTTACAGCAATTTTCTTGTAAAGTTTAAAAGCAAAGTGACAACATGAAATCTGTTATCTTATATCAGATATGGGATACAAGCCCCTGTTTATCATGATACCAAGCAGTGCTTTGATATCAGATGAGGTTGGAGGTGATCAGTTTGTGATTCTAGATCTTTTCATATGGGGCAAATGCTGCATTTTCTTATTGTTCCCATTCAGCATTGTTTCATGCAAGATGAGGTCCAACAAATCCAGATCAGAGTTAAAAATATTCAACAGGACAATCAGCCATGTCAACTGGTTACAAGAAGAGACCAATATTTCAGGAACCATCTCCATCCCCATTATCAGGGTTCTGATGTGACTGGAACCCCCAAACCAACCAAAAAGCTAACTATGGGCAGAGTCCTGTGCAAGTGCAAGACATCGTCCCTTCCTAGGCAACACCATTCCTGCGTATGAAACAAATTACTGGAAATGGTAAACAGAGCCTTATAACCAAAACGAGAATTTGCTCACGCCAAGAGGGTTCTGTCGTGGCGGGAGCCTCAACCATTCATCTAGGGTCATTTGTTGCTGATGGGAGGTTATCCCATCAGGCACTCTGCGATCAGGGGTAATGTGACTGGATACCACAATTGCTCCTACATATACCTGTCTGGGACTGGTATTCATGGCTGGACCCTAGCCAATCAGAGCTAGTGGGCAGAGTCAAGCACTCATGTTGTGTGGCCCTGCTTTCCTACAGGTATTTTCATCAGACTGCTTCAGCATGTTTGCCACAAAATACCATGCCCAACAAAGTAGTATGATCAAAACATGCTGACGGCTTTACATTCAATACTTTGCACTGGAATTACTGTGCTATGTCTAGGGTCTGAATCAGTAACCAGAAGCCAGTCGCTTACTTCTTTTGCTCCTGTTACTTTGCCACAGTCCCTTGTATCACTCTTGCACTCACCAGTAGCAGACTTGCTTATTCCATGATTACTATCACTAGAACTAATACCTGACATACTTCCACTGCCAACATCTAATATAGACACTATTTCTTCATCAGCACCATGCATGCACTCTCCTTCTTGCCATCGTTTGTAGATACAAAAAACAAAGAGCAACCAAGTGCTGCATAACCTAAATATGCAGAGACAATGAACAGGAGCTTGCTGAAATCTCATAACACAAAAATCTTGTCATCTGTTACTCTCTGTGGCACTAAAAATACTTCCTCTGAACATTAGTATCTACTGCCATGGCTTATGACAACTCTCGATGCAAGTATGACTAACACTTATGTGCAGATTACGTAATGTAAGTATACTCACTTCAGCCAACGAACTTCTGTCTGATAAAGAGCCAATGTTGCTTGAAGCAAAACTTCATGTGGAGAATAGCAATGGATGCTGCTTCCAGCAGCATCATCATCTCTCCTCTCATTAGCTATGGAGCGCAGCTCCTCTTCCAAGACAGCTGCCAAGTCTGCTACATTGAGTCGACAATCATTGAAACCCAAATCCTGCAGTAAACGGGATGGACCTGGAACTCCAGCTGCCTCCCATATCTCTACTATGACCTCTACATTTACAAACCTGAAATAAACATAAACATGCAACCTCAAACTTCAACATGTAATTTCTTTAAGTGATTCCTTAGTCTGCCACAATAAAACACATCAAACATTGTGTGTTACTGTTCTATTAGAATTTTCTTTATACTTGACAGTAATTTATACACTACATAGTAACACAAATCACAGGATCAATAGTACTGATACCAAGAAGCCTGCTGTTTGACATCATCCAGAGCTAGTTCAATTAGTAAACATCATCCCACATTCTGCATTTTCAAAGCTAACAGGTATCACCATCAAAAACAAATATCCATTCTCTATATTTGCACAAGCATCCATCACAAATTTCTTTCTCTGACTATCCCAACATTTAACTGTTATGCAATCTCCTTGACTCCAAAGATTTATCTGTGTCAGGTACAGAAATTTTCCTGCAGTTTATTTTTGTGCACTTGCAATGTACGAGGTGCGATCGGAAAGTTTCTAGACTGCGCCTATAAAAACCCGTACACTTATCTCAGGTATTAAATTCATCCATCACCCTCGAAGTAGTTCCCCTGGGAGTGAACACAACGATCCCAGCGCCGCTGCCAAGCCTGGAAGCATCCCTGGAAATCTTTCTTTGTCAGCCTGTCAAGCACCATCTGCGATTCGGCCTGAATCTCTTGCCAAAGACTCGCCAAAACGGCTACGGAAACCTATGAAATGCTAAAGCAAGCATTTGGGGAGTCCGCAATGGGTCGTGCACAAACTTTTGTGGGGCATTCACGTTTTAAAAATGGCCGAACCCCTGTCGATGATGACGAGCATTCTGGACGACCATCTTCGAGCACAACGCCCGAAAATGTTACGAAGATCGACGTCGTACCATCAACGACTTGTGCGACATTGTTGGGACCTGTCAGCTGATTCTAAAGGAAGAACTCCACAGGCGACGCATCCTGTCTGAGGACCAGAAGCAGAATCGACTTGACTTCTCGTTTGTCAGGAGCTCAAAGATCTTGCAAGAACCGACCCCAACTTCCTTTCTAAGCTCCGTGTGACTTCTTCCTCTTCCCAAAGATGAAAATTCAGCTAAAGGGAAGGAGATGTGAGACGATAGAAGAGATTCAGGCAGAATCGCAGATGGTGCTTGACAGGCTGACAAAGAAAGATTTCCAGGGATGCTTCCAGGCTTGGCAGCGGCGCTGGGATCGTTGTGTTCACTCCCAGGGGAACTACTTCGAGGTAATACTCACAAAGCACCTGGTCTGCCATACACTGGAGCACAATATGGGAGGTAATTTCGAGTAAAAAACATTAATACAATATTCGTCCTATTTCCAGCTCTTACACAGAGCTACGGAAATTTTAAAAACTTACATAGGAATGAAAGTATCAAATGTAAAATGAGGAGCTGGGGTAGCTCAGTCAGTAAAGTGATTATGAACTGGATGACTGGGATTTGATCCCCAGCAGGGGCAGAGGATTTTTCCTCTAGCCTTTGCATCCAGACTGGCTCTGGTGCCCACCCAACCTCCTATCCAATAGCTGCCAGGGTCCTTTCCGCAGCGGTAAGTGCAACCGGGGTGTGATGCTGATCACTTGTGCCCAGGTTAAGAATGAAATGAAAGTTACACCTGCTCTCTCTCCAAGTGCCTATATGGCAGAAAGTGGGTCAGCTTTACTGTTCCTTTTATGTAAAATGAAGGTAAATATTGAAATCAAGAAACACTAAAACAATGAAAATAATACATTAGTTAGGTGAAGGTTCAGACACAACTGCAACAAATGTCCAATAATAAAGCAGGAACCTAAGTCAGGGTTTCACAGATAATGTTAATAGAACAGTTTACAAATAGATATCTTTTCTCCAAATACAGACCTGAAAAGCAAGAACATATAATATCACATAATTAAAATGTTATCTTAAATATTATACTTTTAATTCTACAGGATACTACAAATGAATGAAAGCAGCTAACCCAGCACTGTTTGTGTCCAGAGCCAAGAACTGCAAATCTTGGTCTGATGATCCCAAAGTTTTCCGTTCCTTGGTATTGCCTGAACATTGCTGGAAGTCTATCCCCAGGCTTCTTCTATTACTCTTGTCTTCTGTATGGATGTGGGTAACATTTGGTTGAATCAAACTTCTACCACTTTGAAACAGCAGCAGAAATTCATCAAAACTGATGTGGCCATCACGATCAACATCCAACTTCTCAAACAACTGCTGGATAACCTAAAAATAAAATAGGAAAAATTAAAAAAACCTATCTACTGCAAACCCACAACCTGAAATCAAATAACATTTATCAAGTTTATCAGAAATGGTTCACTGTACAAAAATGTATGTGACAAAGTGCAGGATGTACACGGTGCACGTATTCCACTTTACTGCAACATTTCTCATGAAATAAAGGCAAATGAATGGAAACTAAATGCATCTGGGTAGGTAGGCTATATGATCAAGTTTTTGTTACCTACACTTTACAGATGTTGTATGAGGGCACCAAGAATGGTCCAGCAAACATAATATCTGAATTTGATTTCAGTCCATGCATTGTTAACCTTTATCTTACTAGCGTTCCCTGTCTGGGACGTAAGTTATGTACACAGCCCTACGAACGTTCCGGGTGCAGAACTCAAAACTTGCAACATTGTAAGTAGACTTGGCTACGTCTTTTGGCCTCTTTTAGGGGCTGCAAATATTGAATCACTTTCTCTAGGGTTCGGACAAGTTCAACATGAGCTGTCAACCCCGGAACTATAACCATAAACAGCAATAAACATTGTTATTGTCAAGTGGGTTTCGGCTTCGTTTTCAGACCCCCTAATCAAAGCTACTCACATTCCTTGGCATGATCTGTGAAAAGAATGTGTATCCACTGAAGTAGGGGAAAGAAATTTTTCTGTGTTGTCATTAGTTCAGAACCATGGCTTCTACCATGTCGAATGAGCTTCCAAAGAAGAAAGTAATGTTACTAAGGCCTATATAGGCAATTAAGATATTAACTGAATTTTTAAAAAACTCTATTTATTCTCTGTTCTATTCGAATAAATATGGCTTTTAGTTCGCCAATTTATCATGTTTACCTTAGATAATATTAAAGTTTTCCATAGAGTGTGCACAAAAGTTTAAAAACCTGCAGAAAAACTCCGTAGGGCTGCTACCACTTTGCCATTTAAATCCCCGTTGTTTAAAGGTTAAAGAAGTTGATGGTAACTTTAGGTATTGCATCTCTTTTCCTCCCACCAAGCACAGGCAAAGTGACAGCAATGGAAAAATGCTACTTCCCTTTACTTTTTGGCCTATTTGACTACTGAGCAGCTTGCATGAATGACATCTGTACACTCAATGTTATTTGACTACAGTACAGTAGAAACACAGCTGATTCAGACTCTTTATTCATAATTATCTCCCACAATGAACATACTCATATGTTAATAGTTTCCAGTCAGTGCAATGAAAATGTTAGCGAAGTGCAACACATCTATCAGCAAGGACATCCAGAAAGGTGGCTTGCTAGCGTGACTGCCTTCTTAGAGTCGAGAGACAACTGCAACACACAGGAGTGTTCAAAAGGACATGTGGTGGACAAGACGGTTCAACTGCAAGTGGCAGTATCAAAGAAGGGGTTTCCTCAAAACTCTCACAACAGCACCATACATAACAATGGCATTCATACTCAACATAACAAGCATTACTGGATTGTTGATAATCTCATAGGGTACAACAGACATCATTTCAGATGCAGTCAGTTCTTAATGTGTGGTGTAGGATGGGAGACCACAAACTGGACCACACTTCTTCAAGAATAATCTTAATGCACATCTATATGTACAGTTTCTCCAGAATGACATTCCATTATCCAAAAAGACACCACCAAGAGCAAGGCTTTACATGTGGTATCGGCATGACACGGCTTCACCACATCAGTTCATGAACATAAAAAACCATCTCAACAAGATAATACAACATGACGAGAGGGAAGAGTGGACCCACACACTGGCCTGCAAGATTATTAGATCTTACCTCTTGAGGTTGAAACGCGTATGGCAATAGTGTCTTTTTATAGTGTTAATAATTATTTGTTTACTTATTTTATATTCTAATACACTACACGGTATGCAAAGTTTTAAGATCAGAGGTAATATGCCAGAGCAGCACACCAAGACCACTGATTATGCAACCATCAGACAGCCTATGTTGCCTGGGCCCCAACTAGGGCACTACGTGGGTATTGTCTGAGAGGCACGAGAGTAGACCTGACATCTTTGAGGGAGGTGGGGTAGAATTCTGTGCTACCAGCGGACCAAAAAACACCCGCAGCTGATACACGCCATACGTCCTGAGCTAATGTACTGACTGACTGATAGCACAATGTTCTTAAAGGAATATATCACCAACGCATGCACAGAACCCACTTTCCCCCTGCCACACAAGCAACGGCTGACAAGGCCACGTCTACTCTCATGCCTCGCGGACAATACATGTGACTTATGGTACAGGCTCCACACCTAGACTTCCATAGAGGGGCAGTGAGGAGAGTCCACTCAACCTTAATTTCTGAGTTCCCAGTTGAGACACACAAGCTTGAAGTCATGCCGAAATCATGGAACAGGACCACGGAGATAGGAAAGATCCCTACTGCTGAGACAGGAGCATCATAAAATTAATATGCCTGAAACTAAAACATTCAGAAACCTAGAATAATACTCACCTCCTCTGCCACTTTCTGCATACCAATACATTCACATAGGAGGGCAAGTTCTCCTCTGTCAAGAAAACCATCCTTGCCAACACCAAGCCTCTTCCAAGCAGCTCTAAGGCACTCTTCTTCATTCTCAGCAACATGACTCAGCCTTGGTGCAGCTTTCTCATAAGATAACTCAGAAACCTCTGTTGTCACCTGCCAGCTAGGCAAACTGACTTCAGCCATTCCTGTAAAATAATACAAACTGTCATGCCCACTGGAATCAAGGCTTGTTGGTTTCTCAACCTTTCTATGCAGCATTGAACTGCAGTTCAATATTTAACACAAACTACACCACAAATTATTCAAAAGCTGTGCATGCAAGCATGCACATTAGTGCATCTGCACATATGCATGTATATACATTTGTGTATTTTTTGTATTATGCATTACAGATCACTAACAAACTGAACATCAAAATTGATTGCCCATTGAACAAAAAAGCAATAGAAGTATACCCTTATTTTCCACTGACCCCATTTTCGTTTAAATCCCTGACCTAAGCCTCACAGCCTCTCCCTGTTCATCATATCCAATAAAAATAATTAGAATAAAGTAAAAAGTAACAGTTCATATGCCTGATATAAATTTTTCACAAACCACAAATAGCTAAATACAAGATTTCTGTCTTCTGGGTTATTGCGCTGTGTAGTCTGGTCGATGTTAACCAACGTTTCAGAGGTCATACTGCCTCCGTCATCAGGGCGATGAATATGCCAATAGGTAAAGGCCCTGAAAGGGGCCGAGTTAGTGGTCTGGTTGGTTCTGGCGGCGGACTCTTGCTCGTTCTCGGAGTCCTCGGAGTGTGTGGATCAGAGGCTTCCAGGACCGGCTCAGGTGAAGGCCATCTTCCCTGTTAAAGTTATCAGGATGAAGTTCGATCTCGATGGCTTCCCTGATTAACCGGTCCATGTAGCCGGTTTTTGAGGAGAGGATAGAAGTGTCCTCTAGCTGTATCTTGTGCTCCAAGTTGAAGCGGTGTTCAGCAACCGCAGATTTCTCGGGCTGCCCGAGCCGGATGTGGCGTTCGTGCTCCTTGATCCTGGCCTCAACGGAACGGCCTGTCTGGCCGATGTAGACTTTTCCGCACTCGCAGGGAACTCTGTATACGCCAGGCGTCTTCAGTCCTAGGTCGTCCTTTACCGGCCGGAGAAAACTGGGAATTTTCTTTGGCGGAAGACCAACAGACTTGATGTCGTGCCTGGCCAGCAACCTGCTTATGCGGTTGAAGGTCGTCCCGACGTAGGGCAGGAAGGCAACCGAGGCTGGTTTTTCAGTAGGCGGTGGCAGCCTCGCAGGCGGATTGAGAGCTTTCTGAATCTGACGGTTGCTGTATCCGTTTTTCCTGAAGGTGGTGGGGAGTGCCTCCAGTTCACTCTGTAGGCTGTCGTGGTCGCAAAGGGCTTTAGCCCTGTGTACCAGGGTCGAGAGCACGGCCTGTTTGTTGGACGGGTGGTGATGGGAATTGGAGTTGAGGTAAAGGTCGGTATGGGTTGGTTTCCGGTACACCTTGTGGCCTAATGAGCCGTCAGGTTTCCGGTGAATGTCTATGTCGAGGAATGGGAGATGGCCGTCCTTTTCAGTCTCCATGGTGAACTGGATGCTCTCGTGAATGCTGTTGAGGTGGCTGAGGAACTCCGCGAGCTTGTCAGGGCCGTGGGGCCAGATGACAAACGTGTCGTCTACGTAACGGAACCAGCAGAGGGGCTTGAAGGTCGCCCCGTCCACCGCCATTTCTTCAAAGTTCTCCATGTAGAAATTGGCGATGACAGGTGATAGTGGGGAACCCATAGCCACCCCGTCGGTCTGTTCGTAGAACCGGCCGCCGAACTTGAAATATGAAGAGGTTAGTACCAGGTGGAACAGCCTCAAGACGTCGCCATCGAAGTGCCGTTCCAGGAGACGTAGGGCATCACCAACGGGTACCATGGTGAAGAGGGACACGACATCGAAACTAACCATGATGTCCCCAGGACCCACGCGGAGCGACTTGATAGTATTGACATATTGGCATATTCATCGCCCTGATGACGGAGGCAGTATGACCTCTGAAACGTTGGTTAACATCGACCAGACTACACAGCGCAATAACCCAGAAGACAGAAATCTTCATACTCACCGCTGTGAGAACCTCAAGTCTTACACAGCTAAATACAAATTTAGGATACAAAACAAAACTTTTATACTTTTCAAAATTCTCTTTCTACTGTTGAGGGCTTCATGCCCTCAACAGTAGAAAACACATCACCCCCAGCAGCCTGGCTAGCCATGTGTTACATCAGCCGAGATGCATGTATAGCTTCCACGTATCTTCTTAACTAGCTCTGTATTGGGCAAAACCGTCCTGAATTAAAAAACCATAAACCCTTCAAATAACCTTAGTCCATCTCAGCCATCTCTTTCGACCTATATAAAGAGCAACCAAGTTCAGTTCAGTAAAGCACAGGTGTGAGCCAAGAGTAACAAAGAGTAACTTCCATCTAGAACATATTTATCTGTAATAATAGTAGGATCAGTACATCCATATTTCAAACAAAAAACTAAAGAAGATAAACAGCAATTACTGTTTCACTACTTAACATTCAAGTGGTGACAGGTTAGCTTCCGCCATAGAAGTTTGGCTCCCATGCTAGTAGGCAAATAAAGAGTACAAAGTTGCAGTATTCTTCAGTGGCATGCTGTGCATTCCAAATTTTACAGAAATCTACCAAATGGTTCACAATCATGCAGACACAATTATACCACAATCACATATTTCCATATAAAACAAATAAAGCATGCAAAAAAATAGCAGTAGCATCACCTGACTTTTGGCATCCTTGAAGACAAGGTCCATTCCTACCCACTGGACTGTGTATATCTGTCTTTTGTTCCTTTATATCTTCAAGAGAGGATGCTTCAGGTCTTGATCTCTGTAAAACATGAAATGAGCAATGGTAAGTGTTCAGAGATTCACATGTTCAACATGCAACTTTAACTACCATCATTTACAGATACAAAGTCATACACAGCATTGTAATTGCTTTAGTCTTGTCTTCAAAATGCACAAATACCTTCAAATTTGCATGCTCCAAATTTTCATCTTCCTCAATTGTTAAATCTTGATCTGTGCTTTCAGGTCGAGACCGTCGCCCATATTTCTTTCTTCCAAACACAAACTTTGGAGATACCTCTCGTTCTGAAATCGTAAGTTTAGAAACAAGATTACTACAATTACAAGCACAGTTATCTAAATCACAAAACTGATCAAACATAATTCAATTTCATAACATCACAAACAGGACATCAAAAAGAATGTAACAGAAATCTAACAGAAGTGGTTAAAAGGGATAAGTTAGCAACATAAATAAAACAGTGGAAAGGTATAATCTGCACCAGAATACCCAACGTTTCAAAATGCATTCCTTGCAAATTCTAAATGCATGTAGCTGGCTTAAAAAATGCACCATACCACACAAACAGGGTGTCTGAGGGGTTTTAGTTATAAAAATTTAGTTACAGCAATAACATAAAATGTTGTATGTGATGAGAACTACCAGGGAAACTCATCAATTTGATATGAGCACTGTTGACTGCCATGTGGATAGCAAAGCAATATTCCACTTCAATCTACAACCAAGCCAGCATCCAGATTCACAGCAGCAATGGCCACAGTAATCTATCATAGCAGGTCGACAACAAAATACACACAATGCCCCAGCTGCCAACAGGATGGTGCTCCACCTAATTTTAGTGCCATCATATGAACTGCACTAGATGGCCAATCTCCTGTCATTGGACGGGCAGGGCAGTGCTGATCTCCTGGCTGCCATGAAGTCCTGCTCATTCACTCATTCACTCACTCTATGGAGCAGGAAATTCTTTGAAAAGTCGACTGTATGTTCGGCTTGTCAAAGAATGGTCCACTTTCTTTATGGAACCTGAATGTTCACCACCATGTTCACAAAAACCTGCAACCAGACTCCATCCTGAGCTAACTGCATCCAGTTCACTCAATCAATTCCTATCTCCCTACTAACACTATCCTCCTACTTAAGTCTAGGTTTTCCCAGTGGTCTCCTCCCTTCAGGCCTCCCAACCAATACCCTGTAAACACCCCTCCCCCCACGTATGCCACATGCCACATATTCTGCCCAACTCATCCTCCACAATATAAGAACAAGATACAGACACAACCTTCATGTGCCAAATTCTAACCTCAGTAAATATCAAAAAGGAGTTTACTATACTGGAATTAGGTTATTCAATAATCTTCCACCTATTATAAAAATTGTAAAGCTTTAAAAGAGCATCTCCTATCTCACTCCTTCAACTCAGTAGAAGAATTTACATCAACCAAAAAGTCTCAACTATTATAAACACATGTAAATAATATTGGTGATGGTTTCTCATCATAATTATTCTGCTGTAATACTGCAGTTCCAAAAATCTGTAAATACCTGTTATAACTATGTACTTATATTTGTACTAGAAACAAGTATTGTATTTGTGCTAGGACCTGTTCCACATCCTTGGCTTAGGCCGATGAAGGATCTATGGAATGTAAATAAATTCTTTTATATTCTATTCTATTCTATTCTTAAAAATAGGTGCAATAATAGTCCTACTGTACTGGCAATTCTTCCTTATTCAAAACATCATTAATAAATTTGTATACTGTAGAACACAACATATTACCTCCTCCTTGGTTCAGTTCTGCTGTATATTAATCAGTCCCTGGCAAAATATACCTTGTGAACTTTTCAACTGGGGCCTTAACCTCAAAAGAGCTAGGCTTAGATATTCACAGCTCAGCTAGTAATCATAAATAATACAAAAATTCTGACACAGCCTTATTCATTAAATATATTACAATGAACTTTATTGGGTTTAATGACTAAACTAAATTCAAATTCTGAAACATGTACATATGGGCACATAATTATGAAGTGTTTCCTAGACTAGGTTATGTCAATTTATGTCACATTAGTGTTCCTTAAATCATAATAAAACTCTCAGGTACAGGATGTGACTATCTCACTGCCTTCTTTGCTTTATCAGTATTGTTTATGTTTACATACCTGGAGATCCCCTGTCTCCTTCTCTTCTCTTTTGTCGCTCACCTTGATCTTCACCCAGGAGAGTAAGAAGGCCGTCTCTAAATTCGGCAAATGTCACTTTTTTGCTTGAAGAACTTCCAAGCAAGCATTTTATCAATTTAATGCCCTGCTCTTCAAGTTGTAATTTTTCACACAGTTGTTCTAGTCCATTACCATCTAACCTCCCAGACTGATCCTGATCACAACTTTCAAATACAGACAACAATTGCTGCTCATAAGGATCAAGTTCTCGCCTCTCCATTTCATGGCAGTATAATGCACGAAACCTGTGAAAAGGTTTCATGTCAAGTATTTCTGAAGTATTACTGAAAATATGTCACAATAATCTAATCTAACCTAAACGAGGTTGTTGAGTTTATCTGATTTTCCGCTACAACCGATAAGCTTAATACTTACGCAATACAAAACCAAATCTTTCTGGCTCAAACGTACGAAGCAATAAATGTATGCGGAAAGTTTCTAAACAGATAAAGCTTTAATTCCAAAATGTCAAACAGCGTTGCGTATTAATTTCTTGATGTCACAATCACAGATTACTAATATCACAACCTGAGATTTTGGGTTCTCGCAGGAACGAGTAAGATAATAAGTTTCTGGGATCTTACAACGCAAGTGTGTCCAAACAGTTTACCTATATTCAGGTATGCTTGCTGCTTTGATCAATCAACTATTTTTAGCCTACATGGTACAATGTCCATAAGGGTAATTGCTACAATGTAAAGAATTGGACATTGTATAACCAATGTTGATGTCCTTTTGGGTTTTGGCAATATGTAGAATCAAAGGTAGACCCCAACGTCTCGGAGAAGCATATTGTCTCCAACCTACGGGCTGGACACCTCAATCTCACAATGTAGAGGCAAGATCATGAGTCGCCAATGGACAAAATAGAGCCTAACTTCGTTAGGAACAAATTTACATAATGTTGCTATAGATCCTGTTGTCATTGTTATTATTGTATGCTTACATCAATAATTTTTAAGTAATTACATTGAAAGCGACAGTTTCGCAAGGTAACACAGTATTGTGTTTAAAATTAATAATATCATTTATTCCCGCCTATTTTTGTTGTGCCATGGATTCGAACATAGCCTATTTCGATTTCTCATTTTCTCTCCAATGTTTCCAGGGGCTCCCTATAGAGCGACGTCCCTTTGGTCGTTATTCCAGGATCTGGGATGGTATTCTTTCATCCAGCATTGGTTCTATGTGTGACTTACATTTTTCTCTGTATTTTTACTATTCTCTGTTATTGGCTCTACTCCAAATTTATTTCTATTGTCTTAATTTTTGAAACGTTCTTGTCTTGTACTTCCTGTGACTAAAGTTAGGAAACTTATTTCTGCTACTTGTAATTTGCATATTTCTTTGTTTGCAATTGTCCATGCCTCACCACCATATATTAAGGCAGGGACGACAATAATGTAATCAAATCTTAGCTGTATAACTTGTCTACTTTTTTTTCTTTTCGTGTCCTTCGAAATGTGCAGCAAATAGCCTTCGGTGTTTGAAACTTCTGATTTACGACTTGGTCCTTTTCTTAAGTCTCACCAAACCCAAGATATTTTAAATGTTATATTTTTTCAACCGGAATAATTATTCTTATGGCGGGGAACTTTCCATGGAATTCCATTGCTTTTGTTTTCCTTGTTTATATATTAATTACAGCCTATGCTAATTTTATTTGGCACAAACGTAGCTCTTTGTAGCCTCTCTTCTTTATTAAATATTGGTTTATTTAGTACCTGTGTGGCCATCAGTCTGCTGTGCGGCTTGTAATCTCGTTAGATGCTCTGAGTAAAGAATGTTGTTCTCTAATATAGATTGCATTCCAGATTCAATTGCTGTATTCCCGTTTATCTTATAATTTCATGCCGGTTTTGTAGTCACATTATTGGCAAGAGGCAAAATGCACTAGCGACATCTTAACGCAGCAATTGTGTAACTTGAACAACGTAACAGCGTAGATACTCGCTAAGTCCCTATTAGATCATCAAACTGATTCAAAGAGTAAAAGAGTAGGGTTGTATTTACTGTGGTATTGGGTTGAACATAGGTGAAACATCTGGGTACTTTTGATGGTGGTAGAACAAATATGATGCATACTGTGTTAATTCGGTGTATGTTAATGTTTTTGAAAATATATTAGAACCTTGGACTGTGTTTAGTACAAAAAATACTTGATTAAACTGTACTCTGAAAGTTTTCGAACTTTGATTTTCTTTGTATGATTACATATGTGATCCTTAATATTTTCCAGCTCGGCCGGTGCAACAGCTGCTTGTAAATAATGTGCCATCCCTACGAAAAGGAACAGCGGTGTCATGTGTTCAGATGAAACATCAGTCCACAGCCGTGCAACAATCAAAATCTGGTTCGTGCAAGTTTACGACTTGAATTTTCAAATGGAGTAGATTTGGAATTCAAGGACGTTACAAGCATTTAAAATGTCAGTATCGAATTATGATTCGCCTGATTTTCATTAATGCTACTTGGCTTAAAATTTGGGATCATTTGGAAGTCATAATGTTTGTTTGTGTGGTGAACACGTGTACTGTGTACAGATTGGGAGTTGGTGAGACATTTGTGGTGTAGGAGCAGGTGACCTTGCACATATCTGTGTAACATCCTCTTTCGCTGGAGTTGTTGAGCTCAGGCTGTAATTATGTCAAACCAGCGCTTTCTCAAAGTCATTTTGGCATGCAAAGTAGTGGCAGGTTGATGAATAAATGTCTCATCTCTAAATTGATGAACAGTAGATTGTCATGTGATTAAATCCCACTTTGGTTACAATTTTTTGTTATTGCTTGCAATTTTGTATATACTAAGGTACTTATTACCATCATTATATTTGGAAGGCCTTCTTAAGTATAGTAGAGTTGAGTAGAGTTTATTTACATTCCATAGATCCTTCTTAGGACTCAACCAAAGGATGTAGAACATGTCATTTCATACAATATACATACACTTCAGAACTTTCAACACAAGTACAAGAACGTATTTCACATATCAATGTACATAAATTTCAGATTCTGCAATACAAGTATGAAAAATAATTTTACAAATTAATATACATAAACCTCAGAATTTTAAATATAAATACAAAACTTGCTTTACATATACGTAGATTATGGATATAAAGCTTAAACATTTTCAGCAGAGATGAAATCATCTACAGAATAGAAGGAGTGAGTAAAGAGGTAATCTTTCAATGCAGGCTTGAATACCTTTATATCATAATTTAGACTTTTAATTGTTGGTGGAAGATTATTAAACAACTTGATACCTGTATAGTACACTCCTTTCTGATATTTAGTAAACTTAGCATTTGGCACATATAGATCATGTTTAC